GGGAGACCCTCCATAGATTAATCTCTAATTAATGGGCGGCTGATCAAGGAATGAATCAAACTCAGGGTGATTTTTCGCAAGGTAAGTAGCAGACAACGCCCAAGCCGGGCTGGCTGGGGAGGATGATGGGTGTTGTAGTCCCGCATCCTCGGCGGGGCACTGGGTTCATTCGCCTCCCCGTTCCCCCCCCCCCCCCCCCCACCCCCCCCCCCACCACCCCCCCCCGCGCCCGTGTCCCCCTCCGAGCGCCGATGACGTCACCGCCGGTCTCCCCTTCCCGTCGTGACGTCACCGCCCGTGACGTCACCGCGGCCGGTCTCTTACCCCATGCGCATCTTGGGAGGGGCCTGGCCGCTGCCTCCGGCGGGGCCCGGCGGGCGAGGGGGCAGGCGGCCGAGCTGCAGCTGCTTCTCCAGGGCGGACATGGCGAGGTCGAAGCGGGCAGGCGGGCCGGCGAGCAGCGCAGCGGCCGAGGGGCGTGGAGGATGCGGCCCCCGCCTTCCCAGAAAGGAGCCGCCGCTCGCCGGAAGCCCCTCCGCGCTCGCCGGAAGGGAGGAGCTCCCGTCCCCCGAGGCATGATGGGAAAGGCAGTTCGGCGGGACGCCGGCGGGGCACACTACGTGACGGAAGTCGCCGAAAGGCTCCCTGGGAAACAGAGTATTGAAACGCACTACTAAATTCAAAGGGAAGGCTGCTCGGCCAAGAGAGGCGAGGAGGAGCCATAGAGATAATAATAATTAGAGTGATGTATCCTCCTTTTCATTTTTAATGTCAGTGCTTATATAACAGGCAGTCCTCCAGTTGCACCCTTAATTGAACCCCCAAATGTTCTTTGCTAAGAGAGAGGTTGGCAAGTCAATGTTGCCCTATTTTACGACTTTTCTTGCCACAATTGTTAAGCGAATCACTGCAGTTGTTAAGCAAGTCACACGGTCGTTAAGTGAATCTGTCTTCCCCTTTGACATTGCTTACAAGGTCGCAAAGGGGCTTCACGTGATCTTGGGACACTACAACCATCATAAATAGGAGTCAGCTGAATTTTGATCATGTGGCCTTGGGGATGCCGCAAAGGTGGTAACTGTTAAAAATGATCGGGTTGCTTTTTTCAGCTTTGAACCGTCACTAAGGGAACTGTTGTAAGTTGAGGACGATCTGTAATTAGGGAGAAGCTTGCTAGCCAAATCGTTTGCATGCAAGGAAGGCAACGCTGAAGGAGGAAGAAAGTGGGGCGGGGGGAGTAAAGTCCAATCCTTGTGGAAACTAGCAGTGCCACAAGAAGCAGCTTTGCATGTCAACCATATGACTACAACTCCCATGCTTTTCAGGGTCAGAGAGTGCTATAGCCGAATAGAATAGAATAGAATAGAATAGAATAGAATAGAATAGAATAGAAT